TATCCGGATGTAGAATTTAAGGATGCATTAGGCCTTGAGCACTGAATCCTTCGCACGGCACAGCCCGTGAAGGTCTTTTAGCCGGTTCTTCCAGGAACGCGGCGGCCCGCAGATTTAGAGTCTAGAGGTGCTTGTGTACCGGCGCCGGGGTGGCCTCTCATCCGAACCCTGAACCCTAAACTTAACCTCTACACCCTAACAAAAAACAACTAACCCTAACCCTAACTTCTAACACCTGAATGCCTGAACCCTTTGAGCCTGCTAGCCTTGACGCCCTAAACCATTGAACCGTAAACCCTGAAACGGCGAAGATCGACCTCGCCCGGCATTCGTATCCATGTTTGGAAAATTTCGGCTTGAAGGGCTGACCTCGTCCAACACTAGGGTAGTCGGAGAAAAAGTCTCAGTACCAAGACAGAGTAGTATCCAACGTTTTACTACAAAAAGCCCCATCAGAAGAAGTGATGCCGCTTGAAGTCGTGCCACTGTTGCGAATCGTCGCTCTTTCTGGGTCGTAGTATTCACTTCATCGGTAACCCTAGCTTAGTAACAGAGTGCGCAATCCTCTTAACCTTTCAGAAAACAAACCCTGCAGTGTTTGGGGTGTTCGTCATTTGCCTCCCACCCCCACCCCCAGGCCCCCTTCCCCCTTGCCACCGGGTTTGTGGATGCGACCTGGACTCTGTGCCTGAAACCTAGTATAGAAGCTTTACAGAAACTTTATGAGAGTCTGAGACTTACAAAACCTTTCTGCAATACCTCCCAAACCCCTGCAATCTGAATATGGCTGCCCCCGGCGAAGAGACGCGAGCCAAGTCGGCTGGCTGCGGTGTTGAGACTTATATACTGTAGAGGCATATAGAAGCCTTGACAATTAGAACAGAAATGTCGGGATTTTTTGGAGGTGCCCAGTTCTATAATAGCAATCTGTTTATATATTTTCGTAGCAATCCTGAGAAGCAGTAGTGGTGACTATTTAGGCGCCTGATTACCCAGGAGTTCAGGATTAAACACTCAACCTCGACACCCTAGTATAAGATCCCACGGTTTAGGGTTTAGGGTTTAGGGTTTAGTTGAGGCCCGTTCATGACACCCCAAACCCTGAACCCAAAACTCCCATCATCAAGACCCTCAGCGGGCCAACATGCAAACGGCAACCAGGAGCCTGGCCCTTCAGCTCCTCTTGCAAGACCCTTAAAGCCGGCCGGGGTGTAGGGATCCCAAAGGGTCCAAGTAATACTGTTGATGGACAAATTCCTGCATGACCTTGTATACATAAACTATGGGAGTTATGGTGCTATACTATACTTGGGTCATGCAGAATTTTGTCCATCAACAGTAGTATAGTATATACTAATTACTAAGTAGCTACTATGTTGGTACTTGGACCCTTCGGGGATTGGGGATAGAGCAGGCTCCTCTTTCAAAGCCCACAATGAAGCCCATGGTTGAAGGATTTAGGGGATAAGGTTAGCTTGTTGACTACAAGAACCTTACATGTCAGTGTTTCTTTTCATCTTCCTATACACCTTCAGCTACAGACCCCTAAACCCTCAACCCGAAACCGTAGTATTCTGACGCTTTAGCCCCTGCCTAAACCCTAAATCCTAAACCCTAAACCCTGCAGACATGTTTCGGAGCGGCTTGAAAGTTCTAGAAAATCAAGGTCTTGCGGCTCTTATTAGCCGAATGAGGGCACTCTAATTTTTTTTAATATGATCCCTTGTAGAACTGAAAGGCTGCATTTTTTGTGCTTATTATGTTGAGGGTTTAGGGTTTAGGGTTCCAGCACTATGTAGGACAAGGAGCTCCTTTAGGAATGGAGAGGTTCAGGGCTTCGAGATGAGGATGTATGGACTTGAGATGCATGATTCAGGATATTGGTTTTGATTTGGGTCTTGATTCTTTGCCCTAAACCAAAAAAGCCTCAACCCCGAAACCCTAAACCCTAGCTATCAGGTTCAGGCGTTTTGGGTTTGGGGTCGCTGAGCTGTATTACGGAGTCTCATTGACATTGCATGGCAAGGGCTCAAAGTTTGAAACCAACGACTGCAGCCAGAGGCGAATGCACGGCTGGCCAACGTTTGTCGGCAACTTCTGAAACAAAAACCGCGGCTGTAAAAACCGGAGACCCTGCACTGCCTAAACGCTGGGTTCGGGCTGTAGAGTAAATCCTCAGCCCGAACCCCTTGAGCCTGCAGAATAAGAAAAGTTTAGTTCTGGAAGAAGATTCTTCATGGATATCTACAACCAAACCCTACAGCATCGCGCTATCCGTTGAGGAGTGCCCTGCTGCTAAGACTCAGAAGTCGAAGTCCTTATATCAACCATCAGAGCCCTTCATTATGGACCGGCACAGCCCAACCCCCCAAATCCTGAGGTCTCGCCCTAAACCCTAAAACCCTAAACCCCCAACCCTAAACCCTAAACCCTCAACCCTACACCCTAAACCCTAAACCCTAAACCCTAAAACCCTAAGCCCAACCCCCAAACTCACGAGTCTTCAGCAGTAGGGCAGACTCCTTCTGCAATCTGAGCAGCGTCGCTGTCGAAAGAACTCGCTGCCAAAGAAATATGATTCAAAAGCCTGCCGCTTCGGGTGAGGTTGAAGGTAAGTATTCAGGCCCCTATAGTATACTGTAAGGGTTTAGGGTTTAGGGTTTAGGGTTAGCGTGTAGGGTTTCAGGGTTCTTTGCTGGTCTGGGTCTAGGATACTTCTTCCAGGAGTTCGGGGAATGCTAGTAATGGGGTAGCAGCAGCTGGAGAGTGGGATTGGTCGGGCAGGGATAATAGAGAGTTTGCAACTCCTTTACCAGCCTAGATCAAGGCCTCAGACAAGTAATATAGAAGCCTAAATAATTACCCATATTACTGTTAGGGTTTCGCAAATATACTATAAGGGAGCCCAAAACCCTTATAGTAGCCCTTATCCAACCCTTGAAGGAACCCTTTGAAGGAACCCCCAAAACCCTATTCTAATTATTAAGGCCCCTAGACCATAAACCCTGAACCCTAAACATTCTCCCTAAACCCTAAACCCTAAATGCTAAACCCTGAACCCTGAACCCTGAACCCTGAACCCTGAACCCAAAACCCTGAACATTCGAATTCTTAAGGCCCCTACTTGGAGGTTCATGGGTAGTTATAAATGGGGTTATAAGTAGGGTAACTGTAGTTATAACCTATATTAGCGGACTTATAACCCCACTTATCACAACCCATGAACCTCCAAGTACGAGGGTTGAAGGCTTCGGGCTTTCGGGTTTTAGGGCTGCCGCGCTTCAGGTCTTGGCCTTACTGCCTAGGCTGGATTTTGGAACCCTAAGGAGCCATACCAATAAGTCCACAGGCCCATTCCCCTAGGCTTTAGGGTCTAGGGTTTGGGGTGTTTAGGATTTAGGAGACTCCAGCAAAGTCGGCGAAGCCTCCATCAGCGCACCTGCCACTTCTTGAGCAGCTTCTTCCTGCTGCAAGATAAACCCTAAACCCCAAACCCTGTGACCAGGCAAGGAGTATGTAGAGCAAAGAAGCGAGTCTCGGCGTGTCTCGAGGGAACCGAAACCCCAAATCCCAAACCCGAACACCCGAAAACATCCCAAACCCTAAACCCCAAAACCCTAAAGCTTAAACCCTAAACCTTAAACCTTAAACTCTAAACCCTAAACCTTAAGCCTTCAAGCCCCATTCTGCAAGAACTCTTAACCTGCACCGCAACACTCCTACCCTAGCCCTTGGCGCATCAGACCAAGACACGTGGTTATCCCTAAGTACCCATCAGGGTTCCTTCAAGAGGATTTTAGGGTTCCCTTAAGGGTTGCCTAAGCACTTATGTATCGTAGAATGATCCCTGAAACAATGTTCCTCATAGTAAGAGTCTAGACCCCAAACCTGCCTCATGTCTACGAAACCCTGAGCGCAAAGCTCCTCTTTGACCTCACCACCCTCTAACTTCTCCAACTCAGAGACTAGGATACCAGGTAACCTAGGAATAAACAGGGCTCCGTTGATGGTATTGGGTAGTTTCTTTCAGGAAGCCAAGACGACAAAAACACAACAAAACGGGCTTCTAAACCGAAACCCCAAACCATAAACCTTATGGAAGACCTAGGAGATATCCCTCATATCAGATCAGATCAGATCAGACCTACCTTTGTGAGTTCGGAGACTCCTCTTCGGGGTGATTGGGCATCCCGGCTTGGAGCCTCAGGTTCAGGGTTTGGGGCTTGGGTCTAAGGGTTTGGGGGTCGGGTTCAGGGTTTAGGGCTTGGGTTTAAGGGTTTAGGGTTTAGGGTTTAGGGCTTGGGTCTAAGGGTTTGGGGGTCGGGTTCAGGGTGTAGGGCTTGGGTTTAAGGGTTAAGGGGTAAGGGTTTAGGGTTTAGGGTTTAGGGTTTCGGGTTTAGGGTGTCGGGTGTTCCAGGTGCCTTCAGATGATCGGATGAATGTAATAGGGTGACAGGCATATTTAGCACCCATTTTGGGATTAGGGTTGACGCTACACATGAGAGGAATAACTGCGGTAATAAGCAGACTAGCACATCGTAAACACTGCTTGCAACCGGCCAAACTGGAGGACAAGTACTAATCCCGAACAGATGTGTATTTTTACCTATATACATACGTATCACCCCTGCATGCCGAAGACTGAAGGCCAGCAGCAACTGAAAAACGGCTTGCAGGCCAACATGCGCAGTTTCTTTGCCCAGCCAGCACGCTCGTCTGAAATACTTCCCGGCTTTCCGCAAGGTTCATGCGTTCTTCGCGAAGCTCACTGTAACAACCCTGATGACATTTTTATATGTTCCACGATTACTGCAATAGTTGCTATTGCCAACGAGTAGTTATTACGCTACTTTTACTAAAGCACCTCGTCACACGGTTTCTCCAGGACTGCACTGTCAGTCTATTGGGTGGTTGTCAAAATTATGATCCCTTTTTGGGTCCTTATTATAATACGGCACCTACTATGTAGGGTACCCCAAAAGGGACCATAATTTTGACAACTACCCTATTGGCATCCCTCTGACGGGGTCCCACCCCGGGCAGTCATCGTAGATGCCGAGGCTGCCGTCCTCTTTCTTGCAGAATGTGTACGCACAGTAGGCCATGTCACAGGCCGGGCCGCCCATGGCCTGGGTTTCCGTTTATAAGGAAGCAAGTTTAAGTTGAAGTGTCCTTTTAGTTTAGGGTATAATAGGAAAGGAAGCAAGTTTAAGTTGAAGTGACGTTTTAGTTTAGGGTATAATAGGCTTAATAGGGATCTACAGTGAAAAAGCGCGGGTTTCCTTATTATTATGGTAACGCACGAACCCAGTGGCGCACGCCCATGCGGCAATGAAGTGTGCATCATCCATGGACGGCCGGCTGCCAGCAGTGCCGGGTTTTGCTGCTTGGAATCTTGCCATCATCTCATTCAAGGTAATGTTGCCTTGACTGTTGGTGGGATCGCCCGAAAATCTGTAACTGATTGTTGCGTCATGTTGCTTTTCAATATGGAGCGACTGATGTGTTTGTGAACTTTACGTTGTTACAACCCTATGTTCCCCATAAGCTCTGCTCTACTCTGCTTTACATCTCCCTAAATACCCCGGGCAGGCACCAAGTAACCTTACATGAGGCTGCAAGCAGGATCCTGCAACAATAAGCACTAAAACGATGCTTCTAACAACGACCCGGCTGCCCTTTGACCCCAGCTTGATGAGATGATCTGAGTTGCAGAACTCCGTGGCTTTCGCAGTCCTGGGTCGCTGTCGCAGCTTCAAGCTGCAACAAGGTTTTTTGGTTTAGAGAGCTGGGGCGTATAAGGTTTATGTTCTTATGGCTATCAACTCATTTCGAAGTTCCTTACAATGCAACCCAGAGTCAGGCCCTCGTAGTCGTGCTGCAATGCCCTGATCTCAGGGGACAGCCAACCGTTGTAGTAGCAGAAGTGCTGGTCATAAGAAGCTACTGAGCTGTTAGGCCACACCACGCTTTTGGCAAAAAACATATAGTCCCGGTTGTAGACGGCATCAGCGCAGCCCTTTTCAAAGTTGAGCTCACACCACCCATTTGTAACGTTGTGCTCTGCCGTGGCATTCTTCATGAAGGTGTTCAAGGGCAGCTTGCCATTCTCAGGGTGTTCCCAGTAGCTGCTGTTGCCGCAGTCGCTACGCTGCAGGTAGGACTTATTGGGCGCACGCTCTTTCGGGGGCATGCTGCAAAGAGAACAGTAGCGTCCATTGACATCGACACTCTCGAAGCCTGGCATCGCTGGAATTTTAGAACGAAAAGCCTGCCTTTGAATCTTGACTGAAAGGTAACAGGCTTCTCACAAAACCTAGGAACCCCAAGACCGGGGAAGATAAGATTACCAACAAATCCAAAAGGAGTGGACCATTGGAAGATCCAGAAACTCTGCATCCAGTCTCGAGACGTCCCAGGGTTAAAAAGAACACCATGGTCCAGCGCGAGCTGGTCGACCTCGCCTTCCCAGCTTATCGACGATGTAACCTGAGCGGCTGGATGGCAGAAACCTTTAAGGTTAATAGGGTTTAGGGTCTAGGGTTTAGGGGACTGTGACATGGTATCTATAGAGATCATGAGGTTTAGGGCTTCCAAGTAATGGCGGCCCATGTTGGGGCCCTCATTGCAAGCAAAGTATGCTTGTAATCGGGTGGCGGAAGTATGCAGTATACCGGGGTGTTCCTATTTCTGAAACCCTCCACACCGCGGTTTTTGGATGGGGCTTATACCGGGGCCTGAAAGAGCCGGGCCAAAGCCAGTCAAGTGGCAACTTTGCGAGAGCCCTGCTGCAACAATGACACTCCATGATCCCAACTGGAATCCTGGGATGCTGTCAAGGCAGCTATGAAAATATATAGGTTGCTGAATACAATACCACTGGACAAATCCAGAACTTTTTGTCCTGCTTGCCTAACTCAAAAATACACCACCAAAAGCTATCTCCGGGTTTGGTGGCTTACCTCAATTAGCGGCAACCCAGAATCCTCAAAGCAGAAGGCGTCTGCCAGACCCGAAGCTGCAGTCAGAGCCAGGAAAGCGAACAGGGCGAGAAACATTGGTGCTGAGCTGGAACAGGAAAGCGGGCTGAAAAATAAAGAAGACTTGGAATATGTTATGGCATTGTTTCATAACAGCATAAGGTTACAATTTATTGGGACTCATACATTGCATTGCTGTTCCGAAGATGGGTCAATTTACCATTATAGGGGTGCGCATTCTAACAGGAACTGCCGATAGAAGGACCCGCATGCTTTGTCCAGCCCCAACATGTAGACGGACGGGTCTTGGCAAGGGGTGTCGCCTGCGACCCGAATTGAACCCAAACGGCTACAGTTGTCGGTTCAAGTCTTAAGGCCAAGTTATTCTAGGAAGTATGCTATGGAGGAACACTTTTGAGCACACGCCGGTACCAAACGGGAATCAGAACCAAGTCATTGATGGAAGCGTGAGAGGGACTGAGGAGGCTAACTTGTTCTGGTAGCACCGTCTATGCCAAATGCTGCTGAAACGAAACAATGATGCGTCAGATAGAGGCCGACTTCATCAGAACATGGCTGTTTGATTTGTAGGAGGTGCTAAGATGTATCATGGTAGATCTACACGACTACGACAAACAAACTCAAGCTCCCACATCAGTTCATACAGTGTCTCTGCCACCCGCACAACCCTAATCCGACAATCATCCCCGCAATCACTAAACTCACTAGAGTGTCGGCTCCTTTTTACGTAAACCTGTCATGATGTTAGGACTTGTTCATGCTTCTGCATGAGATCGGGGCAACGTCACAGTTGCAGGGGCTTGAAGACAAACCACTGCATCAGAGATTTTGCAAGGGCTCTATCCCAAGATACCATGCTGGTTACAACTTAGGGTTTAGGGTTTAGGGTTTAGGGTTTAGGGTTATACCATGCTTGTTACAACAACCCTCCAACTGAGTAGAGACAAAAGACGAAACACAAACATGGCTTCGAATGCCCTATACTATCTCCGGAACACCACTGCTCTCAAAAAGCGCAGCCAAAGACACGCCAGCCCCGAACACCAAAGCCAAACCCTGCATGACCAGTCGTATTACTGGCTTTTCCGCGCTGCGGCTTAGTAGAATATACAGAAGCGTTCTGAGGCTGTTTTACAATGTTGGATCACGACATACGATACTATGATGCACTATGCTACGATGCATTCTGCAAAAGTCCTATAAACTGTTCGTTAAAAGACAACACACTAAGCAAAAGCAAGAAGCAGGTTGCACCAAATCTTGAAATCCCCTGAAACCCTTCATTGCACCTCCCAAGGCCGACCCAAGGCCTGAAGCACAACATCTTACAACCGAAACCCTTAACTTTAACCCATAAGCTTCAAACCCGAAACCTTACCACCTAAACCCTGGACCCTAACCCATGAACCCTAAACCCTAAACCCTACCCCCTATCTAAACACTCGGGTGCCCTGTGCCGCACGCCTGGGAGCTCGCATCTGCCAGACGCTCCAGCACCTTTTCAGAAAACCCTGAACAAAGCTTAGGGTTTAGGCTTTAGGGCTCGGGGTTTAAACCCCAATCCCAAAGCCCTATGAATTCCTACACGCTACTCCCTAAACCCTTCAATCCCGAAAATCTAATCCGTGAACCCTATAACCATCTATAACCCCTAAACCCTATTCCTCAAACATTATAATTCCTGAACTTTACGCTAAATTTAACCTTCAATCCTACAATTTCTAATCCCTACACCTTATGACCCCGAAACCCTGAACCCTAAATCCTATAATCCCTAAACGCCAATCCCTACTCCCTAAGCCCAACAAGACAAAGTTTCAGACAGGTGGTCTCCTTTGCGGTTCAACATTTACGGCTGCTTGGCTATTAGGGTTTAGTTTGGGGTGGGGTTTAGGATTTAGTGGTTAGGGGTAGGGTTTTGGGCTTTGGGGTTAGGGTAGGGTTTAGGATTTAGGGGTTAGGGTAAGGCTTAGGGCTTGCAGGTTAGGGTAGGGTTGAGGGTTTTGGGGGTTAGGGTAGGGTCGAAGGGGTTAGGGCAGGGTTTAGGGTTAAGGGCCCCTAGAACCTACAAGGGTCCTGCGAGGGTCGGAGAAGGCTTCTACAAGGCCCTACATAAACCCTACCAGTTTCATTGAGCTCTTGCCAATGCCAGGATCACGCAAGAGGGAGACATATGCTATTCGAGTCATGCCCCATTTATTTATTGTAAGTCCCTAGAGGATCGACCCTCGATCAACCGCACCACTGGCAGAAGCCAGCAATAAGTCAAAGAGGTCCCAGATCGAGGAACATGTCTTGTCTCCCGGTCGATGAACGTGTACAGGTCAGTCCGACTAATCGACTTGGCTTGGTCAACCTTCCACCCACCCTAAACCCTAAAGGCTAAAATCTAAAACCTAAACCCTAAACCCCCAAGGCGAGCATAGCCTTTCTCGAAGACTTCCACGGCTCGCTTCGGACTCTCACTTCTCAGCAGGGCTACTAAAGAGTCAATCGAGCCTTGCTTCGAGATCCGTGACCCAGTGGCCGAAAAGCTGAGGAGACACAGTACATGTGGGCTTAGTGTTTCGGGGGTTCAGGGGTTTACGGCGAAGTGTTTAGGGCGGCAGGATGCCGAAGGTACAGAAGTTTGGTGGTTTTGGTGTAGATTTCAAGCATAGGGTCTACGGTTTACGGGCTTGGGGCTTTGACATGCTTTCATTTTGAATGAGGGCCGTTGAAGCAACATAATAAGCTAAGAGAAACTCTAAACCCTCATACAACACGTGTAAACTCTTGCAGACCCCTTTAAACCCTAGTTTCATGGAACGTTTAAGGCACATGGAGCCTTGGCAAAACACACAAACCCCAAACACCAAACCCTAATCCCTAAAGCCTAACCCCTCTACCCTAAACCCCGACCCGCTGCACCTGAGCCTCCGCCTTGCGCCAATCGCTCTGACGCTTGGATCGGGCGGTGTCTCGAGTAGCGGCCTGGATTCATGCACCGCTCTAGGACCTCTAGGAGTTTTGCCTCGAGATCTTCGGATGTTGGGTTAGGGTTTTAGCGCTTGGGGTTTGGGCTTGAAGGATTTAGTGCTTCTTGTAGGCCTTATATTGTAGAAAGCTGATTAAACCTTCGTCTCTTACTCGGGCTCTTAAAATACATGCGATTATTCTCGTGTGATAGAAGCTTTTGATTTATGGGTCGAAGGTGTGTATGGCGTTTAGGGGGTCAGGGCTTATGGGGTGCAGAAACGGACACGCAAGATATCGTTGAGCATGTGGACTTTTGGGTATTTGGGAGCAACTCCGTTCATAATTCTAGTAGGTTCCCGGATCAAGGGGTTTAAGGTTTAGGGTTTAGGGTTTAGGTTTCGGAAACTCATTAACCCTAAGGAGCCTCCAACTCCAAACCCATAAACTAGACCTTCAAAGCCCACAGAAGGGACTTCATCGTGAGGACAGGATAGAACAGGGTTTGGGAGATCATTCTACTATAGTTATGTAGGGACGAGAAGGGGATCTGATTACTGTTAAATGCATAGTCACTATGTACATAATAGTCATGAGATCCCCCCCCCATATAGTCTGTATTCCTGTAAATTACATGCCGCAAGAACGCATGACTCCCTAAACAGACGAGGCACATAGAAAGGTTATAAGGGAGCGATCGTATCACCGTATCGAGCTGCTACATGGCATTTTCGCAGGGGCTGTCTGAAACCCCCCCACAATGCAACCCTAAGGCTCTCTGGCACCTCTTCCTGTAGTTCTTGCAGTGCACTGCTCAGCAGGTCCTCGCCGCCGGGCGAGATGAACTTCAAGCGGCGCCAGCTCCCCAAATCCAGCTGAAACGGAGTATGTTCACCCTTCAAACTGGCCGCCGAGCCATTTTGTTGTGTCGGTTTCAATTATCCGCAGACCCTAAATCCGGGTTTAGGGTTTGTAGGGAAAACACCAACGCCAGACCCTGAGCAAACACCTAAAATCAAACCCGATACAAAGCCTTCCGAACCCCAAACCGGATATGATGTCCATCTGCTGGTCTGCATCGTGGAACTCAGCCTGGAGGGCCTCCATCCGAGCCTAGCAGAGCACGATCAGCAAAAGGTTTTGGGGCTTTTGGGTCTGGGGTTTAGACCTTGCGGTTCAAGCTTGGGGGTTTAGTAGAACCTAAGCACCTAAATGGGGGATACCTGCCCAAACCATCATGGTGAGTCCTATTGCAGAAACCCTCCCTTTTTACGGTACAGGACTACCCATATAGGTGCATCTTGGGGTAAGAGATGTGGGGCCCCGACCCTAAACCCTAAACCCTAAAACCTAAACACCCTACACCCTAAAAGCGAGGGAGCCTCCGAAGCTTCAGTCACTCGGCACTTGGGCCGTGTGGGGAGTTTGATGGGTTGCTGAAGATCAGGGGCCCCAGGCTTTAGGCTTTGAGGCTTCATGGCTTTGGGTTTCGGGCTTAGTGTTTCAGCGTTTAAGTGTTGGGGGTTTAGGGTTTAGGTTTGATGATGATGATGATGATGCTGTTGCCCCTCACACCATGAAAAACGGTCCACAGCAGGTGCTTCCCTTAGTCTTCAACAGGAAGGCTAGCGTCTAGGCAAACGGCCTGCTCCTGAAGCAGCTCTTCCTGCAGCCTGGCGCGAACAAGCAACTCCAAACCGATCGGGGAACTGGCCAGGGAGTCGCAAATAAGCTGCAGAATGGACTTCTCTTGTACACATGCATTCAAGATTCTGGACCCAGAGAGTTGGAACAATCTGCACAATAGTTCCGCTCTCTTCATGTAGTAGCAGCAGCAGTACTCACTAGCAGTGGTGGTAGTAGTAGTA